TTTTCATTTTCAATTTCATAGATTGTTTATAATGACTTTTGCTAAAATTTCAAAATCAAAAGTTATCAAAACAAATTCTAAGGAACTGAGAAATATTATTTTCTACTTTTTAGTCCATTTATAAAAGCGTTGTATATTAAAAAGTTTTTTTTTTATATTATTTATTTTTATACTAAGTACCTGTAAATAGTATGCAGTACACAATAGAGTTGTCAAACTATCGATGGCACTATCGATAGTATCGATAGTTTCAATTTTTTTAGACTATCAATACTCATTGATAGTTTTTTCTTATACTATCAAAAATATCGATAGTTTAGTAGTTTTTCTGAAAACTATCAAAACTATCGATGGTGTGACTATCGATAGTTTAACACCTCTAGTACACAATACTCATGTCTGTAACAAGAAAATTTTGAGTAATTTGTTCAGATTTTGAGGATTTTTCGGTTGTTTTTGAGGAATTTGGTAATTTTTTTGTGCAACACTGCTTCATTTATATGTATATGTATTCTTCAGGGAACCGATTTTTAGGACCTAAAAACCTATAAAAGAGGCAAAATAACGAAAAAGGCTGGAAAAGGCAAAATAAAATAGCGAAAAAGGCAGGAAAAGGCACTAGGTATTGCAAAAAAGGCAAAAAAAGGCAAAATAAAATAGCGAAAAAGGCAGGAAAAGGCACTAGATATTGCAAAAAAAGCAAAATAAGAAAATACAGAAAATACGAAGAACAATCAAAAACTACATTTATTTTAGAAAAAACTGTGAACTAGTTTTATTATATGCAAAATTTTTACTTTAAATCTTTGACTATTTTATCCTTTCGAGTTTCTAACTCATAAAACTTTAATCTGTATAGTTGTAGTAACGTTGAACCACAAGATGCATTTTGAAGTTTTCTGGCACCATTTTCATTCTATTTTCGAGAAGAAAAGCCTTGAATGTACTAAATGTGCGCTCGACGTAAATTGATACAAGTGGAGCCCAATTTAAATATGGAACGTTTGAAACGTTCATATTATCAGGAATAATGGCGTTTTTTCGCCCTTTTTTTCCACACCCCTTATTGTCTCCAAGACTACGTTAGCTGAGAAAACGGCTTTGAATTTTTCCAACACCAATTTGGCAAGAGGTCCCTGCGCTTCTATAAGCCGCGTGGGCATGTATATTTTTTAATCTTAAAAAAAAATTGTGAATGCTATAATCACTTTTTTAAAGGTAGAAAATGCAAAAAAGGCAAATATCTTAAAAAAGGCAACATCAAATGTGTATATATGGTATCAGGGAAAGCTAAATCGTGGACATTCTTAATCGAATATACTCTATCTCTTTAGCAGAAAAAAAGGCAATTTCCATAAAATACGTTCCCTGATATTCTTATTTCGGTTCCCTGCAGTAAAATTTAGAGACAGTCTGACAAAACGCTAGTTCCGAACTACATAAATATATCAGAACTATCTCTGAACTAGCGCAAAACGGATGCACAGCGGGACAGCTGAAACTTGCGGTGTAAGTGTCATTGTGTACAAATACAAGTGGGACATCTTAGCAATAGACGCCATCCTGGGCCACAGCTGCGATCATCTGTTTTTTAGAGTTGCTTATTTTGGTCAAAACTGTGCCTTTTTGACCTGGGTTGCATTAAAAAGTCTCATAAAACTTAGTACTATTTGTTGTTCAATTGGATATATATGCCCAAAAACTTGGAAAATATCAGATGATTGTTTTTTAAATATGCTATTTATAAAATTTTCTTTTGATTTCGACTTTAGAAATATTCATATTATAAAAGTTTTTCACATATGTTTTAAGATTTTAAAGTTTTTAAAAGGACGGTAGAATGCAACAATGTGCTTGAATTTGTTTGTATCTTCGTCAGCTTATTCGTTTGCAGGCTCGAAAAATGGCGAACGGCTATAAAAATACTGATTCAAAATATACATCTTTCACTGGACACGCAAATTGGGTGTGCGCAGCAAAATTCAGCCCTAATGGCCAGTTAATTGCATCGTGCGGCGACAAGTTAAGAATTTGCGATACATCTTCAGGCGAATGTGTGCGAACGTTCACCCGGGGAAGAGGTATGGGACGACAGCTGGCATGGTATCCAGACGGTAATCTGGTGGCTTTAGCATTAAGTTGTAACCGCGTTAAGATATTCGACATAGCCGAAGGCGAGCTAATACCATTGTATCAAGTGCATTCGTCGTCAGAGAATGATGTTGCATTTCACCCAGTTCGAAATTTCTTGGTGACTGGCGGCGANGCTTTAGCATTAAGTTGTAACCGCGTTAAGATATTCGACATAGCCGAAGGCGAGCTAATACCATTGTATCAAGTTCATTCGTCGTCAGAGAATGATGTTGCATTTCACCCAGTTCGAAATTTCTTGGTGACTGGCGGCGACGACAATACCATAACATTGCTTGATTTATTAGAAGGTCGACCAATTTATACACGGTAGTAGTGCACTTTAGCGGAACCAGGTCAAAATGGACGGGAAAATTATACACTAACTGGCCATACTGACAAAGTTTGCGCCGTCGCTTTCTCCACATGGTAGAAATTTTGCTTCCGCGGGCGAGGATCGACAGGTAATTTCTGCTTTGTGTGTGAAAAAATTATATAATATACATTTTTTCCCTATATTCAACAGTTGCTCGTTTGGAAATCTAATTTGCATACATTTGATGCCAATAGCTTTCGCAACAAACAAGCCAGTTCTCAAAGAGTCCAAATTGATTTTAGTCATGCAACAGCTCCACATAACTCCGCCATAGACACACCAGTTGCTGGAGTACCAAAAAGCTGTGATGACAGTATTTTAATTGATCCACGACAATCGGTGGCATATGGAATGCGTGATGGAAATTTTCTGGTGCATGATAGCCAATATATAATAGAGGACAGAGCTGTTGGTGAGGAAGGTGTCGAGTTACTGCACTACTGCAACTGGGAAAATGCACATTTCGCACGCGCCCCACTCGTATGGAATAGTAGCTTATGTCAAAAGGCTGGTTTTAGTATAATACGGCATTCGCAGCATACCCTCACTGGCGCCGAGCCGTTGAAGAAATTTTGGCAAATAAACGTGCAAGAAATAGTTCCGATACTAGCAAGTCCATATTCTTGTTAAGGGTCATCGAAAAATTCCTTGTGTTGTAAATAATAAAGGGAATGCCGGATTATACTAAAGCCAGCTTCCGGACATAAACTACTATTCCATACGAACACAGAAATATAAATGTATCTAAAACTGAATAACTCAAATCAAAATGGATTGCATTTGTATAATATACCTAATATTGGAATCTTTTTTGATCGTAAAAAATACAACTTGCAATCATTTAGATTATAGTTTTTAAAGAAATTGATTGCAATCGTAAATTGTGTAAAAATTGTTAATAGCAATCTGCCATAAATTTATGTTCCCCATGTAAAGGTTATAAAATACGTTAAATCCGCACTATCTGCATTAACAAAAAATATACATTGTAATTTTTGA